TCTCACAGAATTTCTGAGTTCTCCATCAACTTCATTTCACAATGATCCTGGACATATCAGATTTGTATATCACTGATACATTATCATCTTGACATCTTGGCATTTGACCTTAAAGCCAAATTAACATTTTATAATATTTTAAGTGTATGGCTAAATATTTTGGGAAAGTTAAGTTTCATATGTGCAAAGAATATCAATTCTTTAAGAATGTATACTTGTTAAATATATTTCCAAGATCTGAGCTTTTATACAAAACACTCAGTATATACTACCTAGCTGAACAAATGATGTCAAACCAGAACTATTTGCACTTGTTGAGAAAACTCCACTTTCCAAGTATGCAGCAACACATAGAATGTAAGCTCCAAAAAGGCAGAGGCTTTTCGTATCTTGATTGCTGCTAATGCTCACCACAGGGCCCACTACTGGCATACTGTAAGTGCTCAAGAGTATTTACCAAATAAATGGCAGTGAGTAAATATATAGATGTTAAATAGTCAAAGTATCCCCTGTTTTTGCTTAAAATGAGTGATTTCTATTGATATCTTACGATTTTCCAAGTGGTACTAAAACCATATGTCTTCTGGGAATAAAAGAAAATGAATTAATTCTGAAACAGAGCTTCTTGTTAAGTAACCAGATGGGAAAGATATCATTATCAATCCCGCACTCATAATTCAATAATGAACTGATCCATAAGGAACTGAGGTAGAAATATGTATGATCAGATTAAGAGAAGTTGCTGTAAAATAACACTACTCCAGGAGTGTGTCTAGCAAATCAAGAAAACCTTGGAGGAGGGAAGGGAAGTAGGGAGTTGAGGTAGGATATTAAATTATTTAAGCTTGGCACAGGTAATTAGTGATAATATCACTATATCAATAAATGCTAAGGTTAACTCACTTTTTAAAAATAAAATTTGAGACTTTTAATATTCACAAAAACCACTATGTTTTTAAACAGAAAGGTAATAAGCATATAATATTCACTTGTTTTTTGTCCTAGCCATCCTTATATATAAGCTAGCCATTCTTTTATGCGATATTACATTAAATTGGTTACTTTAAGTAGTCACAGGAAGCAGGATGGTAACTAGGCATGGTGGAAAAGTTCAGACAAAGCTAGGTTTCAATGCAGTTTTGCCAAAGCCCATCCATGTGTCCTTGGACAAATTATTTAACCTTACTGAGCCTCAATATCTTTTCCTGTACAAAAATAGTGTCACTTACTTTGGAGGTTTTTGCAGGTATTAAATTGAAAATGCCCATGAAGTATGTGGCATTGAATCTGGTACATAAATAGGCAACAAACGTTAGCTATCATGATGACAAGTAAAATTTCAAAAACAATATTTCAGTTACAAAGTAAGTTTTGTTTAAAGACAACTAATTTTATGTCTTAGCTTATTGGTGTAGGAACCATTAAAATTAAGTTAATATTGTGTATTTACTAGATACTAAGTATCAATAGTTCTTGCCTTTTATTACTTTTCAAAGCATACTGTACATTCTTTATTATCTATAACGACTGTTTGAATAGTATCTCTCTGCTCCTCTAGTCTATAAGTACCACGGAGTCAGAAATGTCTATTTTGCTCACAAGAGATCCCCAGTGCCCAGTTCTGAGCAGTTGAATAAATACTGACTGCCTAAATAAAGACCAGGATACTAAATTTCATGCTCACCTCTACTATATAAAGTAGGTTTCTTCCCCATTATTCATGAGATCTTAAACTGAAAGGTCAAGTGACTTGCTAAAGATCAGAGAGGAAGAAAGTGTCACGATTGGAATCTAAGCCTAGGTCTCCTAATATACCATACAGAATACAAAATGAAAATGTATCAATGCCATGGCATGAAAAAAACATATAATTTCCTGCTTTTAAGGCAAGGACCATTCTTCACAAAGTTATACCAAAATTGCTTATAATAATTATTTATAATAATCAACCTACATGCTAAAAAATGACCCTACAATTTTTTCTTGCTTTATAGATTTTACTGTGAGAAGAATGTCCTACAGAGAGGAAGGAAATCTAAGTATTAACTGAGATAGTCATTCCTGTTTATTCTATCAATAAGAAGCAATTACCAATAAATTGCTAAATCTTCACCATCTATAACAATATAAAAAAATTAAGAAAACTCATTCATTAGACAACTACTATACAGTGCCTATCATAGGTTGTACATAATGTTTAGCACTTGGGATATAGGTGAGGATAAGACATACAAGGAGCCTCTTATCATAGAAACTACATATTTTTAATACTAGGAAGCCTACTCTTTGTATACATTTTTCAGCATCTACTGAGATAATCTAACTGTTCTTTGGAACATTTTCAGGTTCAAATTAAATATCATTTCTAGTCATATATTCATTATAACTAAATTAGATTAAAACAAAACAATTTGGAAATTTCATGGAGCTCAAGTATTTTACAAGTAAAATATTCTCCTCAAAAACATTACCTGATAAGAGTTAGGGAAGTGATTTTTGCCCATACTTTCCCCTGACACAAATAAACAAGTGCTGGTGTGCTGTGACAAATACGTTTAGAATAGGGAGCCAAAATGAGCATTCGCCAAAATAAATAATTTCATCCCATAATCTGAAAGCAAATATATGAGTTCTGAACCTTGCCCAAACACTGTAAGCAGCAGTCAAGCTTTGGACATCAGGTAGCCAACTAATTTTAAGACTTGAACTGAATGAATATATTAGGTGCTGGTTAAAGAGTGCAGTTTTTCTAAGCTATAGTTCACAATGTGGCCTTGAACGTACAGTATGTTAGTGAGTCATCCAATAGAATCATACTGAAAAGTTTGTACTCTTCTAAAATTTACAGAAATGAAGCCAGAAAATAAATGGCAATAAACATTTATATATAAGATTTATACATAATATTTATATATAAGATTAGAAAAGCTAATTATAGAAGCAAAATAAAAACATACAGATCATCCCAAAAAGTTATCACTGGGCCCATAATTTACAAGTATAAGAAATATAATACTCAGGATACTCTGGATTTGTATAGGAACTACATACATAGCATTAAATAACAGAAAAATAATTTCTGCTTCAATCTTTATATCAAAATCTTCTAATCTTTATATCAAAAACAAAGTCTCAGTTTGGTGGTAATATGACTTTAACACCTCATGAATATTTTCTTACTTCCACTTTAACAGAAAGTGGACCTGGATTCACTGGCTTTGTGAACCAATAGTACCCACCTCAGATAATGGGATTTACTCCAGGGGTTCTCAAATGTTTTGGTCTTCTACATTCTTAAAAATTACGCAGTACTCCAAAGAACTTTATATTTATGTAAACTATGCATATCAATATTTATTATGTTAATTAAACCTAAGAAACTTTAAAATATCATTTAAAATAAATCCATTACATGTTAACATAACTTTTTTATGAAAAATATACTGTCAGAAAGAAAATCAAAAAAAGTGAAAAAAATGGCCCAGGTAGACTTTTTCAAATCCCCTTAATGTTAGGCTTAAACAAACAGAACTACAAAGAAGAAGATAAACAGCCAGGTTTTCATATTTTCTCCTGCAATCATTCCCAACGTGCTCGGTTGAAATATATAAAGAAAACAGGTTCACAAAGGAATGAACTTGAAAAAAGGAAGAGAATTTTAATAACCTTCTCAGACACTAGTCTTTTTATTTTTTTCTTTTAATACTACACCAAAACTCCACAAGAGGTAAAAAGTATTTAGACAGTGCTCCCTTAGCTCTTTTCTTGGATGGATCTTTCATATAGTGAAGTCTTGGCTCTGCAAGTCAACTCCTCAGAGAGATAGTCCCAACCAAACCACTTTAATAACCTTATTATAGATTTTCAACCTTATAAGTCTTCTTATAGATTTGTTCTAAGTCAATCTTATTAAGTAGAACAGGTCATTATGTTTTAAGTACCAGATTATGAATAAAAGTAGAAGACTGATTGCCACTTATTATTCTACTTAGTGCCTTATAAAGTATAAAAGGAGTGATACAATCCAGTTGGTGACATTTATCATTATCAATAACCCTAATTTGATACATTCTTTTATTACCGAAGTAAATTGTTTTATGGCATCAATCATAATAGTCAAAACTTCCATGGAATAAAAGATGGAAAACTGATTTATCTAATGTCCCACATTAGTGTCCCACAGGGTCTAACGATAATCCAGGATTGTAAATTCCACTCTTTGTTTTAAATTTTTTCTCTCTTTTTTCCCCTTTAACAATATCTCATCCTGCAACTAATAACACTGTGCACTGAAATACTTTGTGCCATGCAAAATGAATGCTAAATGTTTCTGATTAATGGGGCATATGACATATGACTGAACCATACAAAACTGTTACTTTTCCAGGTCAAAACAATGGAATGTAGGAAATTTCATATAGTATAACCAAATTACTTACATGACAGATTAAAGACCAATAAACAAGAAAATGCTGGTAAGGAATAACTTTTCTTCTTTTAAATTATATATATAAAATAAAACATTCATAAGGTCTTTCTGTACTATTATCCCAAATCTAATAATGATTTTCTAGTAAGTAACAGTACCGTATAAAGAACTCTAGGACTCACAGATGTTACTAAACAGGAATCCTGCCCTTAAGAAGTCTGCATTCTGACAGGCAAAATGACAAAGTACACAATATATAGAAAGAGATACGTATTACTAGATAGTGTGGTCAAATACAAGATTACTTCCTAAAAGGAAAGCATGCCCTTTGAGCAAGGTAGAGATTTAGAGGTGGAGTATTAATTTATAATTTATAAGCGAAAGGGAGTAATTATTTGGTGGTTTAACTTCTTATAGGGTTTTAAAGACAACCATCATGATCTCACTCCGACATGCACACTTTATATCGGGGACAGGGAGGGACAACACCAGGTCAAAGAAATCTTCATTGCTAGGTCACCAGGCAGCCAATCTTAGGCTTGCAGAGGAACTCACTGAGGCCTTGCCTCACCTGACGGTCCTGACGACGAAGTACACCAGCACCGCGCCGCTCACCACCATCAACACGGTCAGGGCCCTCTGGGTCATAGGCTTGTCGCCGGGGTTGGGGCTCACAGCAAGGCTGCCACCCAATGAGTCTTCTTCCCCGGCCTTCCCTCCCGAGTCTTCTGCCTCAAGTCCCGTTCGGGGGCTGCTGCCATTGCCGCCCTCAGAGCCCCTCGGCCCTGCAGCTTCTGCAGGAGCGCGGCCCGGGGGCTGGGCGGCGGTGGGGCCCGGAGGCAGGGGCGACTGGGTCCGCGGCCCGCGGCCCGGAGGCCCAGGGTCCGGCGCGACCTTGGCTGCCTGCAGCAGCACACCCAAAGGCCCTCCCAAACCTGGCAGCAGTAGTAGCAGCAGGAAGGCAGAGGCCAGGAGGTGACTGAGGCAGCACCTGCAGTGCGGGGCCTTCATCGTCCCCGGACTGGCCTCTCACCACGCGGGAGCCTCCGGGCCCGCCGCCCTGGCTCCAGGAGGAACCATGGGCGCAGTGGAGAACGAAGAAGTGACTAAATCCTGAACTGAGGCCCAGCCGTGGCAGGTGGTAAGGGCAGCAGCAGTAGCAGCGGCAGCTGCCAGGAGAACCGGAAGTTCGTACATCTCAGCAGCCAGTGATACTACGGACGCTTTAGGTTGCTAACAAGTAGGGGCGCGTTCAATGACGTCAGGCGCGCCTAGTAGTCTGCGCACGCGCTCTGTCAGGAGAGGGGCAAAGCCTTCGGTTTCGTCACGAGTAGAAAGTAAACACGAAAGCGGTGTGTAAGGTGTGCAGCAACTCTGCTTGTGGGAACCGTGAGACATTCGAAGCTCGTAATTGATGTCCTTGGTGCAAAACTGCTGAAACACAGCTAATCGTTGATCAAGCGGGCTTGACTTTGCCTCAGCTCAGGTACAAATGGACACGTTTCCGACCGCTCTAAGACCCTGACTCCCTTTCTTTAGAGCATTTACTTTAGAAACTTGTGATTGTAAATTCATTCTCTGTCCTTCTGAGATACAAATCCTTTTAAAAGTTTTTGCCAGTTTTACAACCAAAGGTTGTCTTTCTTAAAGAAAATCTTTTTGAAATGTAATCAGCGAAGAAGACAGCCACCCTAATTATGTCCCAGGCTCTGTGGAAGGGTAGGAAAGCCTAGCTCAGGCAGGCCCCTTGGCCAACTTGTAAAACTACCTTATGTCACAAAACTGTGAGAAAAAGTAAACATTTCCTTCGGGAAAGCCCAATTAGCAAACACCGATGTTCTAGGATGCACCCTACCCCAGCTTTATAAAATCTCCCGCTGTTCCCGAGGATTTGAACTGGAATAGAGTTTTGCAGTAACTTGAATAAAATCTTCCTTACTCGTTTAACTTTGACATCAGTAATATAGAACGTTGGTTTGAACAGATAACTATAAACAAAAGAGGCCAGACCATAAGCCCAGGTGAATATTTGTTGTTATTTTTAAAACTTACTCATTCAACAAGTTGATTAGAAATTCTACTCCTTCGCATGGTGCTAAATTATGAGTATCAGACAATAAACAAATAAGACGTAATCCTTGCTCTTACAGCACTTAAGTTCAAATAGAGATAACACAATAAGCAATCGCACTCATTCTGAATTCTGAAGTATTGTAAATGACAAGTACAAGATCTACAGGAAAACTTTTGTAAAGGACTTTTGTAGGTAGTGTAGATAGAATAATGCAATTGCACCTACCTGGTAAAATTACAGGGATTAGACATCTTAATGCTGGATTGCAGTGTGAGGGAGAGCATTAGTGACACACCCTAATTTTAGCATTCAGCCTGGCATTTATCAGTAATAAAATGGCTATTTGGATCTCTGTCTTCCTTTATTCACAACTTTCATCAGTCATATTTAGAAAAGGGTTTGTATTTATTGCTCCTCTCTTCCTTTGAAAAAACGTTCAATATACAACACATCACCCTCGCCAAAGAAAGGTATCATCTTTTCTTCCTTAAAATATCTCATTTTACCAGTGTGTACCTCATCTTGATTTGATGGCTTTATTCTTCTCCCAGATGCTCAAACATAAAATCTTGGAGTCATCCTTGACCGTTGGTTTACCAGTTGCAGCAGTCCTTGCCAGTAATTGGAACATACAAAGTACTAAATAATTGAAATAGCAGAGTGAAGTTATTGTTTCTAAATGATTAGAGAATATCATGTTCTGATTTTTTTTCCAAATGTTACTCTCAGCCACATGAATCAGAATCCGAAATGGAGTATATTTAAAATGGAGGTTCTAGGTCACTATTTCAGAAATTCTGAACTAGAATTCTTAGGATTGGGGACAAGGACTATCTGCATATTTACTAAGCTCTTAGAGTGATTTTCATTTGCATTAAAGTTTAAAGATCTTTTTCCTTAACTTTGCCATGCATACAGATGTTGTCAAATCTTACCCACTTCCTTGACATCTTTTTCATTAATTCTTTTTTTGTAATTCTGACAAGAAATCATTTTTTATATTTCTAGGGCTATATACTATAGGCTATTTGGGCCCCAGCCCTTTTTACCTTCACTTAAACTCTATATATTACTGCTGGGGTAAACTTTCAAGCCCAGATCTCTCTTAAAATAACAAACAACACTAAGTATATTTTTCACAGAGATTCTGAGTCCTCAGCAATAGTAAGGACTGCAAATCATCTACAAATTATTGTGTTCTTGGAAAAACACTATTATTTGCAAAGCATAATGAAAAAATATTTTCCATTTCATCACATGAAATAGGAGCAAGTTTCCTGGGGGAAAATACTGTATTTTGCTTGTATATAAAAAGACAACTTGAGCCACACATGTCTATTTAAAAAAACATTATATAATTATACAAAACTATATAATTAGTGTTTCTGAATTATTACCATTAACAATAAAACTACATGTTCATTCCCTTGTTTTCATTTGGCTTGTAAACAAGTTGTCCCAACCAGTAGAGATTTAGAAACCTATAAGTGAGAAAAATTATTATAACAAGGAATTTATATAATTTTACTTAATATGCCTACTGGGAAAAGGCTGCCATTATTCTGATTTAACAAGGAATAACTCAGCTGACAGACAACAGTCTTCCATGAAAATATAGCGGCCTGCCGAGTAAAATCTAAACCCTGTAGTCTGGCATTGAATAATAAATAGTACTAATTAAGTATATATTGTGTACTAGAATTCATATTGTCATATGTTAAACTATTATGTGTATAATCCTCAAAAAAAAAGCCATTATTATTCCTGTTTCATAATTAAGGGAATTGAAACACAGGATAATCAATTGGGTGAAAATCCACTTGAGTGAAAATAGAGCTGGGCAGTCTAGCAGCAGAGGGGGGCTATTTCCTCCTACATTTTTATCTTCTCCTAATTAAGAGTTTCCAATTTTTGGCCCTAGTTTATTGTCTCAACCAGCTTTACTCGAATCAGTGCTGCATAACCAACAGCAAAAAAGATCTCAGTGGCATACAGCAAATAGGCATTTATTTCTCACGTGTTTGATGAAGCTGAGATTAACTAATTTCAGCTGACCTTGTATAGACTTGGTTCCAGGCCACAGATTGAGTTCACTTTTACTCCACACACCTCTCATTCTGGGATCTCATGGCCTCCTGGGTCATGTTCTCAAGTCTAAGATCAGAACTTCATGAAGCAGAGTGGGTGAGTGAAAAGGCAATGGAGAACAGGCATAATGAAAAATGAAGAGCCATGTGCATCTTTTTTTAAACAAAACAAGTTGTTACCCCAAAGTCCTACCTCATGCTCTTGACATGCATTTCACTGGAGAGAGATGTGTTACATGGGCACCTCTGGCTTTCAAGATTCTAGGAAATTTAATATTTAGATGGATGTATTCTAGTCTAGCCAAAATTTTATTTATGCTAGCAAAGAAAAAAAGGAAAGTTTATATTGATAGGCATTTCATTTTTAGTTCAATGTAATAGTGATCAAGGGCCAATAACTATTCCCTGGTGTTAGAATATCCTTCTCCATTAAGAATGAAGGAAGGTGGGAGGATGGCTCAACTGTTACAGTCATTCATTGTCATATCTGACAGAAGGAATCTCTTACATTTTAAGGGGCAGAAACTTCCATATTAGGTGATTGTCTGTATCCGGAAATCCAAAAGTAAATAGAGTCCAGTAGTCCAGAAAAGAAGATATGAACTGATTACATAATCAAGAAGCCAAGAGAATTTACTGAAACCTAGAGTATGAAGGCAGAATTGGAATGTCAGTTAGACAACTGAGGAGCAACAGTTCAAGAATAAGGGAACAGTGCTATTAGGGCAAGCACTTCATAACTAAGTAAGAATATGAGTAAATGTTAGAATTAAATATCTAAAAGAAAACAGCCACACAAACGAGCTATGGTTCCTGAGAGGGAAGAAAAAGGTGAGCCTACAGTTGCTCTGGACCTCTGCTTGGGGAAAATTTCCCAATTCCAATGCCACAGTGACTTGAAATTCAGTCAGAATATGGAAGTCTTTTTTTATCTAAGGAGGCAGAGATGACATTTGTTTGAAGTGGTTGGAATCTGTGGGGCAGGGATTAAGAGGAGTCTGTAGAGGTCATGTGGTTCATATGAGGGTTCCCTACAAGTCCTTGACTGAGAGCTGAGCTGGACAACCAGAGGGATGGCCATTCAAGTCTTATAGGAGAGTGACTGCTACAGAGGTGAGACCAGAACAGAGATGTTATTAAAGAGTGCTGATGACTTTGGAATTTGGCCTAGACCTACTGAATAGACCTTAATACCTCCTAACAACATGGAAATCAAACTGAATCACTGCTGAATGATAACGTCCACATCCAGAGAAAGGCCCACTCTAGACCCACTTTAAAACTGGAAACCAAGTCCTAATAAGATTTTTGAGAAGACAGTTTGGAGATCGAACCTCTCCAGTTTAGAGGGGCTTCGAATATAGAAATTCTGGTCTCAGGAACAGAGATATAAAGATTCAAGAAAAGTGAACAGAACCCCATGATCCTAAGGGACAGTATTACACAGTTTAATATGTGAATTGGAGCTCCAAAAGAAAAATCAGAATATAGTGAGGTAATAAAACATTTTTGAAAAATGAAAATAAACATTTTCACTTACAGTGCCAAGAAGATCACATCAGATTACAAAGAAAACTACATTTAGGAATATCAGAGTTCTATAGACAATCACAAATATCAGAGTTGAAAATAGAAAGTCTTGAAAAGAGATATATAAAAAATTTATTACATAAAAAAATGATAGAAATGAGGCATGCATTTAATTAGAAACAATGTAGACCATGAGACAATATAATGGCATCTTCGAATTGCTAAAAAAATAAAACCGCTATTAATCTTGAATTAAATAGGTGGTAAAATTATCTTCTGAAATATATGGTGAAATAAAGGTATTTTCAGGCAAATGAAATACAGATGCTGTTGTATAACATTGGTTCAAAATTTTACACAGATTAAAGCAAATAATTACCCTTCAATAAGCAAAACACATTTTTCTAAAATCTTTTCATCAATAGGGAGTAAATAGCACAAAACTATTCCATATGATATAATCTACACTAGTTAACCACAACTGCATTACTGGTTTTTATTGGACACAAATTGGCATATCTAACTTCTCTGCCAGGTTTGTAAAGAAAAATAGTAAATAATAACAATGTATGACCTCACATATGGTAAGGGTAAAAAATCAATGCTATAAGAATAATGTTACTGTAAAAATTCATTATCTTAACATTACTTGATTATATCTGAATTCCATATGTCTAATGCATATTTATCCTTAAACATTTCCACCAAACAGGTAAAATAAGAATGTCTAATTGTGCAGAATTTTTCTCTATTATGTACCCACAAATCAGGGTCTTTTTATATCATTTTATACAA